TGAAAATAACTCAGTGAAGGAGAGAGGGTGAGATGAGAATGAGGAAGATGAGATGGGATAAGAGGAGAAAAGATGAGAGATGTGAAAGAGGAGTAGAGAAGTGGTAGAGTGTGTAAGTAGGAGGAGAGAGGAGAAAGATGGTGAGACGATGGAGAAAGAGGAGTGAGATGGAGAAGAGAGGGAGAAAGAGAGAGATGGAGAAAGTGGGAGAGAGAGGAGAGAGATGGAGAAAGAGGGAGAAGAGAGAAGGGAGAGAGAGGAGTGAGAGGGAGAGGAGAGGAGGGAGAGATGGGAGGAATAGAGGGAGAGAGATGGAGAAAGAGGGAGAGAGAGGGAGAAGAGAGGGAGAGAGATGGAGAAAGAAAGAGGGAGAGAGATGGAGAAAGAGGGAGAGAGATGGAGAGAAGAGGGAGAGAGGAATGGAGAAAGATGGAGAGAGAGGAGAGATGGAGGAAAGTTGGGAGAGTGATGGAGATAAGAGGGAGAGTGATGGGAGAGAGGGAGAGAGAGGGAGAGAGAGGAGAGAGAGAGGGAAGAGAAGAGGAGAGAGATGGAGAAGAGAGATGGAGAGATGGAGAGAGAGGGAGTGGAGAGGGATGAAAGAGGGAGAGAGGAGATGGAGTATGAGAGGAGAGAGTGAGGTGAGAGAGAGTGGAGTGAGATGAGGGAGAGAGAGGAGAGAGAGGGAGAGAGAGGAGAGGAGAGGGGAGAGAGAGGGAGAGAGAGGAGAGAGAGGAGGAGAGGAGAGGGAGAGAGAGGGAGAGAGAGAGGAGAGAGGAGAGGGAGAGAGAGAGGAGAGAGAGGAGAGAGAGGGGAGAGAGGAGAGAGAGGGAGAGGGAGAGAGAGGGAGAGAGAGGAGAGAGGGAGAGGAGAGAGAGGAGAGAGAGGAGAGAGAGGGAGAGAGAGGAGAGGAGAGGGAGAGAGGGAGAGAGAGGAGAGAGGAGAGAGAGAGGAGAGAGGGAGAGGAGAGAGGAGAGGAGAGAGAGGAGAGAGAGAGAGAGGGAGAGAGAGAGGGAGAGAGAGGAGAGAGAGAGGGAGAGAGGAGAGAGAGGGAGAGAGAGAGGGAGAGAGGAGAGGGAGGAGAGGAGAGGAGGAGAGAGAGGGAGAGAGAGGGAGAGAGAGGAGAGGGAGGAGAGAGAGAGGGGAGAGAGAGGAGAGGAGAGAGGAGAGGGAGAGAGAGGAGAGGAGAGGAGAGAGGGAGAGAGAGAGAGGAGAGAGAGGGGAGAGAGAGGAGAGAGAGGGAGAGAGAGGGAGAGGAGAGGGGAGAGAGAGGGAGGAGAGAGGAGAGAGAGGGAGAGAGGAGAGAGAGGAGAGGAGAGAGGAGAGAGGAGAGGGAGAGAGAGAGGGAGAGAGAGGGAGAGAGGAGGAGAGAGAGAGGGAGAGAGAGGAGAGAGAGGAGAGGAGAGAGAGAGGGAGAGAGAGGGAGAGAGAGGGAGAGAGAGGAGAGAGAGGAGAGAGAGAGGAGAGAGAGGAGAGGGAGAGAGAGAGGGAGAGAGGGAGAGAGAGGAGAGGAGAAGAGGAGAGGAGAGGAGAGAGAGAGAGGAGAGGGAGAGAGAGAGGGAGAGAGGGAGAGGAGGAGAGAGAGGGAGAGAGAGGAGAGAGGAGAGGGAGAGAGAGAGGGAGGGAGAGAGAGGAGAGGAGAGGAGAGAGAGGAGAGGAGAGAGGGAGAGAGGGAGAGGAGAGGGAGAGAGAGGGAGAGAGAGGAGAGAGGAGAGAGAGGGAGAGAGAGGAGAGGAGAGGAGAGAGGAGAGAGAGAGGGAGAGAGAGGGAGGAGAGAGGAGGAGAGAGAGGAGGAGAGGAGGAGAGGAGAGAGGGAGAGAGAGGAGAGAGAGGGAGAGGAGAGGAGAGAGGGAGAGAGGAGAGAGGGAGAGAGAGAGGAGAGAGGAGAGGGAGAGAGAGAGGAGAGAGGAGAGAGAGAGGAGGAGAGAGAGGAGAGGAGAGAGGGAGGAGAGAGGAGAGAGAGGGGAGAGAGAGGAGAGAGGAGAGGGAGAGAGAGAGGAGAGAGAGGGAGAGAGAGGGAGAGAGAGGGAGAGAGAGAGAGGAGAGAGGGAGAGAGAGGAGGGAGAGAGAGGAGAGGGAGAGAGAGAGGAGAGAGGAGAGAGAGGGAGAGAGGGAGGGAGAGAGAGGAGAGGAGAGGAGAGAGAGGGAGAGAGAGAGGAGAGAGGAGGGAGAGAGAGAGGAGAGGGAGAGGAGAGAGAGGGAGAGAGGGAGAGAGAGGGAGGAGAGAGAGGAGAGAGAGGGAGAGAGAGGAGAGAGGAGAGAGAGGAGAGAGAGGAGAGAGAGGGGAGAGAGAGGGAGAGAGGAGAGGAGAGAGAGAGGGAGAGAGAGGAGAGAGAGGAGAGAGAGGGAGAGAGAGGGAGAGAGAGGAGAGAGGAGGGAGAGAGAGGAGAGAGAGAGGGAGAGAGAGGGAGAGAGAGGGAGAGAGAGGAGAGAGAGGGAGAGAGAGGAGAGAGAGGGAGAGAGAGGGAGAGAGAGAGGAGAGAGAGGAGAGAGAGAGGGAGAGAGGAGAGAGGAGAGAGAGGAGAGAGGAGAGAGGAGAGAGAGGGAGAGAGAGGAGAGAGAGGGAGAGAGAGGAGAGAGAGAGGGAGAGAGAGGAGAGAGGGAGAGAGAGAGGAGAGAGAGGAGAGAGAGGGAGAGAGAGGGAGAGAGATGGAGAAAGAGGAGAGAGATGGAGAAAGAGGGAGAGAGATGGAGAAAGAGGGAGAGAGATGGAGAAAGAGGGAGAGAGATGGAGAGAAAGAGGGAGAGAGATGGAGAAGAGAGAGAGAGAGAGAGATGGAGAGAGAAGAGGGAGAGAGATGGAGAAAGAGGGAGAGAGATGGAGAAAGATGGAGAGAGATGGAGAAAGAGGGAGAGAGATGGAGAAAGATGGAGAGAGATGGAGAAAGAGGGAGAGAGATGGAGAAAGAGGGAGAGAGATGGAGAAAGAGGGAGAGAGATGGAGAAAGAGGGAGAGAGATGGAGAAAGAGGGAGAGAGATGGAGAAAGAGGGAGAGAGATGGAGAAAGATGGAGAGAGATGGAGAAAGAGGGAGAGAGATGGAGAAAGAGGGAGAGAGATGGAGAAAGAGGGAGAGAGATGGAGAGAAAGAGGGAGAGAGATGGAGAAAGATGGAGAGAGATGGAGAAAGAGGGAGAGAGATGGAGAAAGAGGGAGAGAGATGGAGAAAGAGGGAGAGAGATGGAGAAAGAGGGAGAGAGATGGAGAAAGAGGGAGAGAGATGGAGAAAGAGGGAGAGAGATGGAGAAAGAGGGAGAGAGATGGAGAAAGAGGGAGAGAGATGGAGAAAGAGGGAGAGAGATGGAGAAAGAGGGAGAGAGATGGAGAAAGAGGGAGAGAGATGGAGAAAGAGGGAGAGAGATGGAGAAAGAGGGAGAGAGATGGAGAAAGAGGGAGAGAGATGGAGAAAGAGGGAGAGAGATAGGTACTTCCTGCTCTTATACAGAGTCCCAGCTCCTTGTCTCTGTGTATTGTCCTCCCTGTGTGTCTTACTACTGTCCTGTATGTGTGCTGCAACACTGACATTTCCCCTCTGTGGGACGAATGATGGTAATAGAATAAATAATCTTAAATGTGAACTTTGAGCAGTGTGTTATGAGTATTATTAGATTAGTTTCTTCTTCTTCACAGATATGCGATCTCGATGGCCAGAAAGATCGGAGCCAAAGTCTACGCTCTCCCCGAGGACATCGTGGAGGTCAAGCCCAAAATGGTCATGACTATCTTTGCCTGTTTGATGGGACGAGGCATGAAGAGGGTCTAGACCGGGACCGGGGCCAGGACCAGGACCAGGACCAGGGCCAGAACGAGACCAGGACCAGACCACACCGGACCAGGACCAGACCACGCCAAACCACGACGAGACGAGACCAGGACGAGACCACACCAGACCAGACCAGGACGAGACCACACCAGACCAGACCAGGACGAGACCACACCAGACCAGACCAGGACGAGACCACACCAGACCAGGATGAGACCACACCACACCAGACCAGGACGAGACCACACCAGACCAGGACGAGACCACACCAGACCAGACCAGGACGAGACCACACCAGACCAGACCAGGACGAGACCACACCACACCAGACCAGGACGAGACCACACCAGACCAGACCAGGACGAGACCACACCAGACCAGACCAGGACGAGACCACACCAGACCAGGACGAGACCACACCACACCAGACCAGGACGAGACCACACCACACCAGACCAGGACGAGACCACACCAGACCAGGATGAGACCACACCACACCAGACCAGACCAGGACGAGACCACACCACACCAGACCAGGACGAGACCACACCAGACCAGGATGAGACCACACCACACCAGACCAGGACGAGACCACACCACACCAGGAAGAGGCCAAACCCGGACCAGGACGAGACCAGACCGGACCAGGACGAGACCAGACCGGACCAGGACGAGACCTCACCGGACCAAGAAGAGGCCAAACCAGACCAAACCAGACCAGCCTGTGCTACATTTACATGTTACAAGCAGCAGTTTCTTCCACAGTGAGAGATGGACTTTTTCTGACTTTTAAGTGAAAATCTAGTAATGAATTTGGCTCGACTTGTTGAAATGTTTTCCACTGAAATTGATCATAAAAAAACATGTTATTTTTACTCAGGAGCAAAAGTAAATAAGACTTGATCCAGTAAATGATGTATTTCTGAATGTGTAACAAAAGGCGGATAAATAAATGATTTCTCAAAGATGAGGGTTTTTTGTGTAAAAGTTGGAATCAGACTCAAGGGACAAATACAGTTTAACCCTATATACACGTGTCCATATAATAAATATATATACATACTATATATATATTAATAATAGACATGGAATGAGTCTGTGTTGATTCAGGATCATGTGTGAAGTCCTTTTGTGAGCTATCTGAAAGGGGCTGGAGAGCTACTGGTTGGAGACCCCTGAGCTACCCAGACTGGTTTCCATCGCAGTAATGGACCATATAATTTGAATGCCATGTATCTCCATCGCTGTCAGACTGTACAATAAGTCACTAATGACCTGCACTAGGACCATTGCCACTTTATATTGTACATAATTATCTTGAACAGACTCTTTAAAATGTTTTACTTCTGTCTTTTGCACAATCCAGAGATCAATAATTTATTTGAATAAGACAAGGTTTAAGAAAAAAACATAGCATTTATTATGAAAAGAGAATTGCACAGTAAAAACAGTATATTACATCAGAGTGGCTCAGTGCTAGGAGTCGTTGGGGAGACCGAACAGTTTGACGGTCCCGGCCTCGCGGTTGTTGTCGTACTTTCCGTCTTTGTCGTCGCAGGCGTAGGCCAGCAGGGGGCGCTTTGGATGCCAGGCCACGGTGAAGGTAGGAGAGTCGCACTGCACCTCCCACAACCGCTCTCCTGCACAAGAGAACAGAGTTTAGTCCTGCTTTAGTCCAAACTCTCTGCTCCCCACTCTCTGCTGCTCCCCACTCTCTGCTGCTCCCCACTCTCTGCTGCTCAACTGCACACAACTTTTGTTGTGTAGAATGAATTCACAAGAACAAATACTAATATAAAATCATTTAAAGTCTAACCTGTTTCCACGTCTGCGATGTCGATGAAGTGATCCTCTGAAGCTGAAGCCAACATCTTTCCATCGTGACTGAAGCTCAGAGTCCTCACAGGCCAGTCCAGTCTGAACACAGACCAAACAGGTTAAGGCAAGAGAGGTACCTGTGTATCATGTAGCGCAGTGTTTTTCAACCAGTGGGCCGTGGCCCGTTGGTGAGCCTTTAGATGTTCATGAGTGTGCCGTGGAAATGATCCAATATCAGCTCGATCAAAATCATGCGAGATGATTAGAGAGATTTGTGCTCGTTTGATTGAACCACTAGAAGTTACTGACATTGTCGAGTCGTAAACTGTGCGTGCGTGCGTGTGTGTGTGTGTACCTACCTGTGTGTGTGTGTGTGTACCTACCTGTGTGTGTGTGTGTGTATGTGTGTGTGTGTGTGTGTACCTACCTGTGTGTGTGTGTACCTGTGTACGTGTGTGTGTACCTGGATAAGCAGCGCACACAGATGAGTTCGTCCACGTCCCACAGACTGACCAGAGCGTCCGCGCTGCCGATGGCAAAGTACTTTCCTGTCGGGTCAAACTTTATACAGATGCAGTTGGAAGGATGAGCGTTTATGGACTGGATCGGCTTCAGCTCCGGGTAACTGCAACAGGAGAGAAGAGACACATTATCAGAGAGAGAGAGAGACCGAGAGACCGAGAGACAGAGAGAGAGAGAGAGACAGAGAGACCGAGAGACAGAGACAGAGAGACCGAGAGACAGAGAGACCGAGAGACAGAGAGAGAGAGACAGAGAGAGAGAGACAGAGAGAGAGAGACAGAGAGACCGAGAGACAGAGAGAGAGAGACAGAGAGAGAGAGACAGAGAGACAGAGAGAGAGAGACAGAGAGACCGAGAGACAGAGAGACAGAGAGACAGAGAGAGAGAGACCGAGAGACAGAGAGACAGAGAGACAGAGAGAGAGAGACAGAGAGAGAGAGACAGAGAGAGAGAGACCGAGAGACAGAGAGACAGAGAGACAGAGAGAGAGAGACAGAGAGACAGAGAGACCGAGAGACAGAGAGAGAGAGACCGAGAGACAGAGAGACCGAGAGACAGAGAGAGAGAGACCGAGAGACAGAGAGAGAGAGACCGAGAGACAGAGAGAGAGAGACAGAGAGAGAGAGACAGAGAGACAGAGAGAGAGAGACAGAGAGACAGAGAGAGAGAGACAGAGACTCTCAAGAAGCATCTACAGACACTATTGAGCTCCCTGCTCGCTCTAACTACTGTAGTGCGCTGCAACACTGAAATTTCCCCCCAGTGGGACAAACAGAGGTCCTCCGTCACCTGAGGATGTTGACGCAGCCGTTGCCGTTGGTGAGGAAGAACATGTCGTTGTTGTTGTTCCAGGAGAGCTCGTTCACCTCGAACTTGAACTGCTCCTCGGCTCGAGAGCGGTGGGTTTTGGCGTCGATGAACGTGACCACGTCGTCCTTGTTGCCCACGGCGATGGTCTGTCCGTCGGGGCTCCAGCAGATGTTTATGTTCTCACCTGTTCAAGATGAAAAAGAAAGAAATGAGTGCCTTTACAAAAGCAAGAGTACAGACTGTGTTTGGCTTTGCTCCCAAACCGGTCTGGCCCCTCTGGTCCCGGTCTGGTCCCGGTCTGGTCCCGGTCTGGCCCCGGTCTGGCCCCGGTCTGGCCCCGATCTGGTCCCGATCTGGTCCCGATCTGGTCCCGATCTGGCCCCGATCTGGCCCCGATCTGGCCCCGATCTGGTTCCGGTCTGGCCCCGGTCTGGTCCCGGTCTGGTCCCGGTCTGGTCCCGGTCTGGTCCCGGTCTGGCCCCGGTCTGGCCCCGGTCTGGCCCCTCTGGTCCCGGTCTGGCCCCTCTGGTCCCGGTCTGGCCCCTCTGGTCCCGGTCTGGCCCCTCTGGTCCCGGTCTGGCCCCTCTGGTCCCGGTCTACATGAGCCCTGATGCTTTCAAAGGCGTCTCGTAACTTTGCCTTAGAACTCAGTAAACATTATAAGAAGCAGGATCTTGTTTACTTTGTGTTTTGATTTTCACACTTGCATACCAGCTGAATCGGCCTGAACAGAACCAGGACCAAGAGGGACTAAAAAGCGGCTCTGACCTTTAGTGTTGACGGTGGCGATGCATTTGGTGGTTCGCACGTCCCAGATTCGGACCGTTTTGTCGCCGGACGCAGTGACGTACAGGTCTGGGTTTGTGGGATGCCAACAGAGCTGATCCACACTGTCGCTGTGGCCGCGGTAATTATTCTCCTTCACCTAAAAACACAAAATATTGGGGTTGTCAAAAGAATTAGAAATAAAATAATCAGTAATCAATACCAAATGGATACTCCTACAAGTATTAATGCAAAGTAGGGCTGGGCAATAAATCGAATTTTGGCAAATAATCGGCTTTAGAAAAACTCAAATTTGTGAAGAGTGTTAAAATGGTTAAATCGAATGAAGGATATTGTGAGAGTTCCAGCAGCTCATTCATCAGCACAGTCTGTACAAGACTTTTATAATACGTATTGAGGGAAACAAATTAGAAATAGTTTTGAAACTTGATTATTGAGCAGAAAGATCAAAACATATTTTTAAGGGCAAAGTCAGTCTTCGGTGACTTTAATAAAAATCGAAATCGTCCAAAGCAGGAAATAAAATCGAGATTTTACTTTTCTGCCATATCGCCCCGGCCCTAATGTCATGTGAAGAGTCTGAGTTATATATATATAATGCAAAGATATTCATCCACAGAACATGAAACTGTGAGCTCCAATAATGAAGTGTTACTAATACTTTCATTATGTACAATATTAGACATTATAGCATAGACTGTATATATTATATATCGTCTTTCAATAAATAAACACCGGCTGCCACAGTGCGGCTGAAAAGCTCAAAACTGTCATTGTGTCCTTAAGCAAGACACTTCACCCACACTGCCCATTATTAGTCTTGATTCTCTCAGTGTGCCCTGGGCAGCTGTGACTGCTGTTTATCACTACTGTATATAGAATGAATGAAGTGTCATGTAGAAGTGGGCAAAATATATGGTAGACAATAATATTGTGAAAGTCAATTTGAAGATATGCTTTTTCGAATTATCATCTTTTTTATTTTCCAATAAATATCACATTATTACAATCAGAGAAGGACAGAGGCTCGTTCGTCTGATGTGAGCCTAAAAAGCCAATCACTGCTTTATTTTATTGAGCCTTTTTGGATGTGTTATTTTTGTGATATATGAATTTGATTTTTAATGTTAATATATGTCAGAGCTTATTTTGCAAAGATGTGAAGCACTTTAGAAAATAAAAAGCTTCATTTAGATCTACACTGTGTCTATCTAAACATGCCCTGGCAGCAAAACAATCATTGTGTGTAAAAATGATTTATATTAAAGACATCGTGACAATATCGTTATCGGGACGTGGGAAAAGAATATTGAGATATTTATTTTTGTCCATATCGCCCACTCCTAGTGTCATGTGAAGAGTCTGAGTTATATCAATACTTTATATTGTGATGGTGGTCAAACTCAATCATTATTAGGAAATAATAATATCTATGGGTTACATAATTATTTGTGGGTGTGGTTGGAAACTTGGGCACCAGAGATTTAAACTATCACATGTTTTCTCTACTGCATTTATTTAGGACTGCGTCAGGAGTTCTGTTTTGATCAACAAAGCAAACACGTAAACAAACAATAAAAGTATGTTTAAAATGCATTGCAAATAAGTGTAGATATAGAGTCAACAATAATCAATATATCAATTAAAATGATAAAACACAGAACTTCAAAGCAGTGCTCTTTTCATTTCATTTAATTCATTCCTTCATGTGAGAGGCAGGAGCAGGCTAACGTTAGCATGGTTAGCTTCAACTCACCAATCTGTCCTTTTCCAAGACGAAAACACTGGCTGTTTTATCAAAGGAACCCGAGGCCAGTCTCCTCCCGTCACAGCTCCAGGCCACAGAGTGCACTTTGGCAGAATGAGCCTGGAACTCACGGCTTTTGTTGTTGTTTTTGAAGCTTTCCTGCATGGTCTGGAAGTACGAGGACGCCATCTTGGATTTCTTCTTCTTCTTCTTTGACTGCTTAACGGCGGATGCGAACTGACTTAGCGCACTACCGCCACCCTCCAGATAGATTGCGTCTGATCAACCATATGGCTCACATCCTTTATACAAACCTGTAGCCTGCAAGCTACAGAGAAAAAAAAAACAAAAAACTACAAAAAACATTACAATAAAAAAAAAACAAATAACACACAAAATAAACAACTACACTCTATCCATGAGTCCGGTATGCTTTAGAAATTCGAACAAACACTTTATCACCCTATGATCTGAGGCTTTAGAAAAAAATATCTCTAAAGGTAAACCTTTCCCCACAGTCTTCTATCTTCCCTTTAATTACATCCCTTTCTCTATTAAACTTCCGACACATCATGACAGCATGTTCCACTGTTTCCGGCACATTACACATCTCGCAGTTTCCCGAATTATGTTTTCCTATTAAATGTCATCTTGGATTTCTTCGCGTTGATTAAAGTAAATAAGACACTAGTGCCACCTGCTGGCGACAGGTGGGAATCCTCTCCCTTTTCTCACGACACAAAGTTTGGGAAGCGCTGAATATTATGTTTGCGCTAATATTTAAGCAATGGAATAAGCTGTAACTAGTAACCTGTGACCTGTAACTAAATGTAAGTAATTTAATTTGTTAAAACTGAACTTAAAATCCCAACACGTGTTTCAAAAGTTGTCCTGTAGCTGAGCAGTAGTGTCTCTGTTTGTTTACATACACACTCACTCCATACACTGTGGTGATAAATTACTGAAATTCCGGAAGCATTGGGCTCTCCGACCACCATAATTACATACACTAACACACACACGCACACACCAGACTCTTGGCAATGTGGTTGAAGTGTCTTGCTTAAGAACACAACAACAGCTTGGCACTTATCAGCCCATCACAGTAATAACCAGGTCCTGTCCTGCTTAGCTTCATAGATCTGGTTGCTTGTGAAATGAATACCAATTATTTACCATTTTAAATTCGACAAATGCAGAATTGTTTTCAGATAATTATTATTGTACTACACCAAAATAATGCTTTAAAAAAATACATAAATAATAATAATATTTTTTATTTTACCAATCTTTTCATCACTATGATATTGATTCAAAAATAGGTTTATAAAAGAATAAGAAAAAACTAAAATATTCAATCTTTTGCTTGTGTGCTGCGAAATCGTCAACCCGGAAGTTGCTCTGTGTTTACCTTACGTGCTTACGTCACGTCAGCTGCGTCACGTGAGCTCCGTCACGTCAGCTCTCCGCTCTCGCTGCTTTTCTCTCGTTTTGCGGATTTTCTCTGCTGATTCTGCGTCTGTCACTGCCTCAAGCTCAAAGTCCGCAGCCCTGACCTGCTCCTCCGCACACAGCTGCAAACATGACCGTAAGTTTACTTTCATCCCATTAATCCTTTTGCAAAGTTAGTGCATCGTTAGCAGCTGTTGCTACTGTTCGAGGCTAATGATCAAAAAGGGTAATTCATCTAAAAAGGGAATTATTATTGGTATTAACTTGTTTTTAAGGCCACTGAAACACACACCGAATCATTGTGTTAAAAATTATATATGCACATAATAATCTTCGAATGTTTCTCAAAGTGTGGTACAAGGACTCCTGCTCAAGTCCAACCATTTTTGCACAATTTTAAGTGATTTTTGTCTGATTTTCTGTTCTCTTCTGGGGTAATACTGATAACCTTGACCCACAAAACTAGCTAAAGTGTGACTAAGTTTGTAAAAATCTATTCTTATTGATTATAGAAAGAGCTGTATTTTGTGTTGTTGTAACTGGATGCTGCCAAGAGACATGTTATTACTATGTCGGGGCTGTAATTACTGCCAAAGGATATGGAAATGTGTTCAGTAATTAAAGCTGGAATACCTTGCACCTAACTCGCACAGAACTGAATGTATTTTGGTTCTTTGCTTTTTCAGACTGAAACACAACATTTTGTGGGAGAGAGGGCAAGCACGATTTGCGACTCACGGCAACTTCCGGTGACTCGCGTGACTCAGGCGCTCTGAGTCGCGGCTCACGCTCAGCATTCAGGGGTCGTGGCTCACGGTTATCAATTTAACTTTTTAGGGGTATCTGTGGATTATCAATGACACATTGTGGATCTGGAGGCATATATTTACAAGTAACCAGTATGTTACACACTCTTCATCATCTGGTATGTGTTTATATAGCTCTCCATGTTCGTTACCACTGACTCAGGAGCTGTGAGTCGCGACTCAGCAGTCAGAAGTCGAGGCTCACAGTTAAAAATACCACAAATCTTTGCTTTTTAGGGGTTTCTGGGAATTTCTATTGAGACAATATGGATCTGGAGGCATAGTTTACATGTAATCAGTATGTTACACACTCTTCATCAGCTGGTATTTGTTTGTATAGATCTCTATGAACTGTTCACCACTGACTCACAGCTCCTGAGTCGCGGCTCAGGAGCTGTGAGTCGCGGCTTAGCAGTCAGAAGTCATAGCTCACGGTTAAAAATACCACAAATCTGTGCTTTTTAGGGGTATCTGGGAATTATTAGGGGCAACAGTGACTCAATTGGCAGAGCTTTGGTCTTTGGACCTAATGATCGTGGGGTCGTGCCCCCACAACCACCTGCTCCCACTGAAGCAAGACGCCCCATCGTGGTATCTTATATACAGTCATGGGACCTCATGAATGAGTATGAGCACAAGTATGTGGAAACGGCACAAGTATGTGGAAACGGCACAATACTAATATTGGTATTGGTGCATCCTTAGTAAAATAAACAGACTCAGTATTAGCAGCGCAGGTTTACAGTCATAGTGCAAGTGGTTGATTAAGTGATAGGCCTAAATACAGATTATTACATGTATTTGCAGGGCTTATTTCATATTCTAATGAAAAAGACTTTTTAGGAGTATTTATGAATTATTAATGTATCTGGATGAACATTTTCCATGTCCTCAGTGCCTCATACATACTTTACCAGCTGATATGTGTTTGTATTACTCTATTGTTAACAAGTGACTTACGAGACATAAGTCAGGACTCGTCTGCTGACACCAGGGGGCGCTGTCTAATCTCATGTTGAATCATGCACGACGTTGGACATCTCGCTTGCAATTTAAATTTCACCAAAATATTGAGGTAGGTTATTTTGTTTCGTTTTTTGGAATCTGTCTTTTAATCATTTTAACATTTTAAAGGGCATGACATTTAAACAGGAAAAAAAAAAAAAAACTTGTGTAAAATTCCTTGGTTGTAATTCTGTGGCTTCAAAGAATACACAAAACTTGCAGATACAGAGCAGAGTGTATACTCCATAGGACAAAAGATGAGGCAAGGTGTATAACACAGGTTTGGTCACATAAGAAATAAATAACTAAAAAACCACTGAGACATTATTATTTGTTATTTATTAATAATGCTAAAGGCATTTGAAAAAATACATACAATACACAAACAAACACAATTATAAAAGCCACTTGTACCAATTTGTCCTTATAGTAATATAATGTGGATGACAAAGTGAGCCAAGAACCCAGAGTAGAGATTTCTTTGTCTTTGAACAAACACAAGCATCAGGGCATTTCATTTCAGGGCATTTTAATTCTAAAAAAAATGATTATTGTTAACTTTAGAGGATAGTGTGCTGAGGTGGACTTACTATTGTAAATAGAGAATTAAAGAGAAAGACCCTAATGACATAATTTTATATGATCATGTTACCGAACCCAGATGTTCAAAATACAGAATTCAAGTAACTTCTGTTGTGGTGAAATGTTTGAAGATGCTTATTTGAGCCTTTGGTGGCCCAGTGGCTGTATGACTGCTGCATGGCACCTGTACTTTCCCTCATAACTGCCGTGATCATCCTGAATCAAATGTTTTAGGGTTTCCAAAAAGTGTAGCTCCCTTATACCCTTTAAACATCTGATCCTGGAGCATTATACAGGATACAAATGCAGTGGAAATACAGGTGTCATGCTGCAGCCATCAAGACATGTTTTTCTCCTTAATGCCTCTTTTCTCTCATTTCTTTTCTATGCAAAAATTAAGTGTAGTTAACCGGTTATTCTTGAATTACAGAACTACTGAGACGACACATCAAGATGAGCCACACACAGAAGAGAAGGAAAACAAACTTTATAAAAAAATGCACAACGTAATTCACTTTAATAGACCAATTATAAAGAATAAAGATTTGGTTTAGGTTTGATACATTTCAGTTTTGCACTTGGCTGTAGCTAATACATTTGCACACATTGCACTATAACATGAACATTTGTTTCCACATGAGCTGTTACTTTGTCTCCCAATACAGGAACATATACAGCTCAGTCATGAATAGCAGCAGAGTGGTGCCGCACATCACTGGAAGGACATGTTGAGCTACGTGCTAATGTATAGAATAAGCCCACACCTGTTCAAAAAGGTGTTGCTGCGGGTTCGAAGTAGTCATTCTGCGGCCTGCAGGACAGAGGCGTGTCGTGAAGTAGGCGTGTAAACTATGCCTCCAGATCCATATAGTCTCATTAGAAATTCCCAGATACCCCTAAAAAGCAAAAATATGCTGTATTTTAACTGTGAGCCACGACTCACAGCTCCTGAGCCGCAACTCACAGCTCCTGAGCCGCGACTCACAGCTCCTGAGCCGCGACTCACAGCTCCTGAGCCGCGACTCACAGCTCCTGAGTCAGTGGTTAACGAACATGGAGAGCTATATAAACACATACCAGATGATGAAGAGTGTGTAACATACTGGTTACTTGTAAATATATGCCTCCAGATCCACAATGTGTCATTGATAATCAACAGATACCCCTAAAAAGCTAAATTGATAACCGTGAGCCACAACTTCTGGCTGCTGAGTCGCGGCTCACAGCGCCTGAGTCACGCGAGTCACCGGAAGTTGCCGTGAGTCGCAAATAGTGCTTGCCCTTTCTGTTTTGTGGTCTACATTTTCCTTTTCCGTGGCTATTTCTGTTGGAAAAAAGTATTATTTATGGGACTAAAAAGATTGGTTTCCCACGGAGAGCTCAGATAGAAGGTCCTGGGTTCTAATCATAGTTGGAATATTTACATTCTCCTACCGACTGCAGTTATAATACAGTTGTAGACAATGTAATATTAGTATAGTATAAATAAATGTACTATATGACTGTATAACTCTACATTAGTGAAACATGTATAATTTAAATAACTAATAATAGGGGGTGAAGTGTCTTGCCTAAGGACACAACGACAGCAGACATCAGTGGGAGTCGGTGGAGAAAGTCTTGTGGTGGGCTCGAACTCACAACCTTCAGGCTCAAAAGCTCTACCAACTGAGCCACTGTCGCCTCTAATGCAATTCCTGAATCCTTCGTGGAGAAAACACAAAAGCGGTTAAATTGTAGTTTTTTCTGCGTTGTCGTTTTCAGAAGCACGAGTTTGAGGTGGCCATGACGTGTGAAGGTTGTTCTGGAGCCGTCACCAGAATCCTCAACAAACTCGGAGACGGTAACGACACATTATTCACTAATATTCTCCTCGATGTTATTCTATGAGACTTAATGAGTTTCTACTGAAGTGGATCTGGATTGGATCAAAGCCACAAACAAAAGGACTCGACCTAAGACTTGGTTTCAGTCCATAGTCACAAGGATGTAATGGGGCAGCACGGTGGCTGAGTGGAGTTTGCGTGTTCTCCCCGTGTTTCCTCCGTGTGCTCCGGTTTCCTCCGTGTGCTCCGGTTTCCTCCGTGTGCTCCGGTTTCCTCCGTGAGCTCCGGTTTCCTCCGTGTGCTCCGGTTTCCTAGCCTGGCCTTATCCACCCGTACACTCGGCTCAATCATCAGGTCCTGCATGTAACGTCTGGGTTACATGCAGGACCAATCAGTTGAATTTCAACCGACCAATCAGAGAGCGCGGGAGGCGGGTGTTGTAGTTAGATGTCGGTGACGTCAAGAGTTTGCGTCGAACGGGAAGGTCGTAGTTTGGCGATGGCGAAAAATGTGATAGTAAAGTAATCCGGTCTGGTTCTATCAAGAAACTGAAGCCGGAGCAAGAGGAATGTTTAGCAAATGTAATCGCTGGAAAAAATTGTGGCGCTGCTCCCCACGGGCTCCGTTAGCGGCAAAGGAGATGGCTAAAGCTAGGCTACATGCTAAATGCTAACGACTCACTTGGGCTCATTACAAACGTCACGGTAAACTCAGATCCAATGGTTTCAATCTGCAAAAGAAGTTAGCCCCTCCCACCTGTTCACGGAGTCAATGCAGCCAATCCAGACCTGAGTATGAAATGTCATTTGTACGACCAGGCTACCGGTTTCCTCCGTGTGCTCCGGTTCTCCCTACTACCAGATTGCTGTATTTCAGGAGGCAAAAGTATAAAAGTGCTTTTCTTTGTGGAAATGTTTTTATGATGATGTTTTGACGTAAGGATTATATATTGTTTGTTGGTATCATACGTTTGGATATTATTTTATGGTTGGACTCCAGTTACTGTTTGTCTGGACTCGACATTTTCAAATATTAATCAGTAAAAAAATATGAAATTAGACAAAGTGCTTTAGAAGCTGAATTATAATCATAAAAACAAAGTATTCTAAGTTCAATAGAAAAGTAATTCCTTAGACGTCTCACAAATACAGAAGTTTCTCATGATTTTAGTGCGTTATTAGCATTCATATTTACAGCTGTTTTTCTGACTGTTCTGTAATGTGCGCTGCAACCCTGACATTTCCCCACAGTGAACTTCACTTTCACTTCAGTCACGACGGCCACAGACACAGATCTCTTTGTTGTTTTGCAGTAAACAAGTTTTAGGGTCATTTCTGTTTCTTTCACATCTGTTTTTTTGTTGTTGCAGAAGTAAAGTTTGAAATAGATTTGCCCAAAAAGTTGGTTTGGATCGAGTCTGAACGAGATGTGGAGTTTTTGACCGAGACTTTAAAGAAATGTGGGAAAGAAGTGAAGTACAACGGAGCCAAGTGAAGGTGAAACAAAAGTCATCACATTCACAGGTTATTAGTCTCATGATTCAGAATCTGTTTTAAAAGTAAGTTAAAGAAGCTACACCTGATTTATTTTCTCATGAGTTCATAAAAATGCTTATTACTACATCCAAGTTGTTTTATAATCTGTAATTTAATGTAAAACTTGAGCTCATTGATTCTGCTGTGTATAAACTCAGGCGTAAAAAGTGCTGAGTAGAGACTTTCCTCCAATCACAGAACAGGCTGCGTCCTCTAGCCTCTACAGCGCTGCTAAACACAGTAGCATGTTAGCATAAGTGGCTATAACTCCTCTGGCTGTAACTGCAGACACAGCAAAACAGCCCAAACCACACAACAATGAGGAAGAGAAGAGGAACTAAAGCCACAACATGATCAAAGAAGAAACCAAGCCCTGAACAGAGCTAGCTTACATCGTATCCTCTGGAGAGACTGGTCTGAGGGAGAGACCTGCGGGACCGCCTCGGACTATCTACGCTCGGACTATCTATGCTCGGACTATCTACGCTCGGACTATCTATCCTCGGACTATCTACGCTCGGACTATCTACGCTCGGACTATCTGCGCTCGGACTATCTACGCTCGGACTATCTACGCTCGGACTCTACGCTCGGACTATCTACGCTCGGACTATCTACGCTCGGACTATCTACGCTCGGACTATCTACGCTCGGACTATCTACGCTCGGACTATCTACGCTCGGACTATCTACGCTCGGACTATCTACGCTCAAACTATCTACGCTCGGACTATCTACGCTCGGACTATCTACGCTGGGACTATCTACGCTGGGACTATCTACGCTGGGACTATCTACGCTGGGACTATCTACGCTGGGACTATCTACGCTGGGACTATCTACGCTCGGACTATCTACGCTCAAACTATCTACGCTCGGACTATCTACGCTCGGACTATCTACGCTCAAACTATCTACGCTCGGACTATCTACGCTCGGACTATCTACGCTCGGACTATCTACGCTCGGACTATCTACGCTCGGACTCAACGCTCGGACTATCAACGCTCGGACTATCTACGCTCGGACTATCTGCGCTCGGACTAGCTGCGCTCGGACTATCTGCGCTCGGACTATCTACGCTCGGACTATCTACGCTCGGACTATCTACGCTCGGACTATCTACGCTCGGACTATCTACGCTCGGACTATCTGCGCTCGAACTATCTACGCTCGAACTATCTACGCTCGGACTATCTACGCTCGGACTCAACGCTCGGACTATCAACGCTCGGACTATCTACGCTCGGACTATCTGCGCTCGGACTAGCTGCGCTCGGACTATCTGCGCTCGGACTATCTACGCTCGGACTATCTACGCTCAGACTATCTGCGCTCGAACTATCTACGCTCGAACTATCTACGCTCGAACTATCTACGCTCGGACTATCTACGCTCGAACTATCTACGCTCGGACTATCTACGCTCGGACTATCTACGCTCGAACTATCTACGCTCGGACTATCTACGCTCGGACTATCTACGCTCGGACTATCTACGCTCGGACTATCTACGCTCGAACTATCTACGCTCGGACCATCTACGCTCGGACCATCTACGCTCGGACCATCAACGCTCGGACTATCTACGCTCGGACTATCTGCGCTCGGACTATCTGCGCTCGGACTATCTGCGCTCGGACTATCTGCGCTCGGACTATCTACGCTCGGACTATCAACGCTCGGACTATCTACGCTCGGACTATCTGCGCTCGGACTAGCTGCGCTCGGACTATCTGCGCTCGGACTATCTGCGCTCGGACTATCTGCGCTCGAACTATCTACGCTCGGACTATCTGCGCTCGGACTAGCTGCGCTCGGACTATCTGCGCTCGGACTATCTACGCTCGGACTATCTGCGCTCGGACTATCTGCGCTCGGACTATCTACGCTCGGACTATCTACGCTCGGACTATCTACGCTCGGACTATCTACGCTCGGACTATCTGCGCTCGGACTCAACGCTCGGACTATCAACGCTCGGACTATCTGCGCTCGGACTATCTGCGCTCGGACTATCTACGCTCGGACTATCTACAACTATCTATTGGATTTTCCCAAATTTTAGGAAAGAACCGCCCTCTCCACTTTTTGAACCAAACTCTGGTCTGATTGGACGAGCACGTGTCAGCAGAATGATTGACAGTTAGTAGGACCAATAGTCTTGAGGATCCACCCGGAAGTAGAAAACCCTCCAGTATACGTTTTTAAATGACTCATATCTGGATTTATAAAGACAATATAAAATAATAAAACCCCAGGATCATAGAAGGCGCTGTTTTCTTAAACCCAAAAGAGTGAGGAGTGAGCTACAGCAAAACTTCGTCCACGGGCACTTCAATGAACTAGCAGGTTAGCATTAGCCATCTATGAAGAGTCTATGGGAGCAACAACCGGGAAGAAACGGTGAAATTTAACATGTTGATTTCACATTTACATACTTAATATTTCTGTTTTTTGTGTTTTTTTTCAGACTCATTCTCTGCTGAAGTTTAACCTGCTCTCACAAAACGCACAACAGCGCCCCCTGCTGTCCACAGACCTCCATCACAGCTGCACAGGTCCACAACAAAGGCACTCTGTTTACAACCGATCCATAAATCATACTTTTAACTGATTCTTTCTGCGACTTTAGGTCAATGTTCTTTTAAACTCTGTTGTAATGAAGTTATTAATGAGAAATGCATGTTTTAATGATTGTAGACGCACTACCATGTGACCGTCAAAGCATTAGTTTATTCTGAAGATAGTCTGGTATAAGGATAATTTTATTTAGATTTACCGGCTTTGTCCAATCAAAACACAAACTGAATGTTATTATCATGTTTTTATTTTTGTTTATTTTTTTAGAGCAACTTCTTTCAGACAATTTAAAGCTGGGGTACCTACATTTCCAGTGGGGTGGGGTTTGGGTTAGGGTTAGGTTGGCTGTCTCCGTCTTATTAGCGCAACATGTTAGCATACCGAGCCCTGTGAGTCGCTATTTGCCTCTTTGAGCTGAGACCTGATTGGCCGAGAGAAGGTGTTCCAGTCTTTTCTACTTTTCTGTGTAAAAAAAGCAGATAAAAAGATGTGACAGAGGCAAAAATGACTGAGGACTAAATTTTAGTTGCGGTTTAAAAGTGAGAGAAACCTCGTACTCTCGGGCTGTGAAAATATACTTTGAATTGAAATCTAACGGTTTGATTTTCTACTGAATAAAAGTATCTCTGGGTGATTTCTTGCTTCTATGATGTAAAACTTTCCATTTTCATGAAACTACTAACGCAGAAAAGTCACTAATCATGTGTTTTATATTCTCTGAGGAAATAAACGATTGTTATTCTGAGTCTGTGGCTTTTTATTTTCTTTATCTTAATCAGCAACGTCAAGTTTAAGAAAATAATGACCTAATCTTGTGAATGAAACGAGATGCATATCAGAAGTATGCTTTAAAAGTGTTTATAAATGTGATTTTGAGTGCACCAAACTCAATCTCTAAGGCTTTAAATCAAACCAACTTCTTTTTCCAACTCGTGTGTGAAGTTAAATACTCTCCCACTTGACTTGTCGATACTGTTTTGGGAATCTGTTAAAAATATCACACATATTTCAAACTAAATCTGGTTTATTTATGTCCAGGGGTTTGCATTCACACATGTTTCTACAGGAATGAGACCAGAGCTATTTACCGAGCTCGGTGTCTGTAGTTCACTGTCCACTAGAGGGCGCTATGACACCAACACCATGGAACTGCAGAAGACCCAGAGACTGAGCCAGGTTTGAGGTGAATAAAACATGACGTACAATACTGCGTTATATGAACATAAGAAAGTGTGTTATTGAAGGGAAAAGGACAAAAAATAAAAATATCAGTAAGTAGAGAACAAAAAGGTACTCGGACTAAGAAGAAGAAGATAGACTTTGCTCTGTAGAATTATAACAAAGGTCGATGGTTTACTCTTGACTTGACTTTGAGACGACTGGGAGTTTCTGCACATATGTTTTGTAGAAATAAACAAAATCCTCCCAGACTTCTCTATAACTAAGAACTCTGACTAATTCTTATCTAAAAATACAGAAGTTTCACAAAAATTAGACTTTTAAGGATTTGAAACATCAGAACACCTTGGATTTGTGGGATAAAAACCAGGGACATGGTCTGGGACTGGGCCTGGGACTCAGCCTGGGACTCAGCCTGGGACTCAGCCTGGGACTGGGCCTGGGACTCAGCCTGGGACTCAGCCTGGGACTCAGCCTGGGACTCAGCCTGGGACTGGGCCTGGGACTCAGCCTGGGACTCAGCCTGGGACTCAGCCTGGGACTGGGCCTGGGACTCAGCCTGGGACCAGCCTGGGACTCGACCAGGGACCCGGCTTCTGACTCGGCCTAGGACTCGACCTGGGCCTGGGACTGGGCCTGGGACTCGACCTGGGACTGGGACTGGGACTGGGCCTGGGACTCGGGACTTGGAGACTTTTGGAGCTGCCTCTCATATCTCTCGGCCCACTGCAGGTCGGGTCTTGTCTGTGGTTTAGTCTTGATCTGATCCCGGTCTCTTTGTCCTGGTTCAAGTCTGGGCAGGATTCTCAGAGTGTAGTGCACGGGTCGATGGAGATGTTAGGTCTGCTGTAGAGGACTCACAAGAATCCCAGTCCCTGTGCTCCTCAGAGTCCCAGCAGGAGGCCAGTCCCTGTGCTCCTCAGAGTCCCAGCAGGAGTCCAGTCCCCAGACTTTACAAGCTTTGCACATCCAGAGACTGAAGTTTTTTACCCATTCTTCCTCACAAAACAGCTCTGTCAGAGTAGACGGAGAGCATATTTGAACTGCAGTTTCATATTTTCACACACTGTCATTGGATTTGGGTCTAGACCTGGTCTTTCTTCACTGGTTCTGTTCAAATCTCAGTCTATATCCATACTTTTCCTACTTTAATACATTATTCCACGTTCTGAAAGTGTTTAAGTACCATGAGAGAGACCAGAGCAGTCTGTTCCACATGTTTTCCTGAGTCTGGATCACAGACTGTAAATGTCTGGACTCCTCAGACTCTGTTGGACCTGTGAGAGACACAGGGAGCAGAGGGAGCAGAGGGAGCAGAGGGAGGAACTCGTCTCGTTCTGGTCCCTGTGTGAAGTCTGTCTGGGTCCACAACACGTCACGAGCTGCAGCTGGAGAGAAACATTCTACACCTACATCACAGAGAGAGGCCAGAGAGAGACCAGAGAGAGACCAGAGAGAGACCGGAGAGAGACCGGAGAGAGACCAGAGAGAGACCAGAGAGAGACCAGAGAGAGACCGGAGAGAGACCAGAGAGAGACCAGAGAGAGACCAGAGAGAGACCAGAGAGAGACCAGAGAGAGACCGGAGAGAGACCAGAGAGACCAGAGAGAGACCAGAGAGAGACCAGAGAGAGACCGGAGAGAGACCAGAGAGAGACCAGAGAGAGACCAGAGAGAGACCAGAGAGAGACCAGAGAGAGACCAGAGAGAGACCAGAGAGAGGCCAGAGAGAGACCAGAGAGAGACCAGAGAGAGACCAGAGAGAGACCAGAGAGAGGCCAGAGAGAGGCCAGAGAGAGACCAGAGAGAGACCAGAGAGAGACCAGAGAGAGACCAGAGAGAGACCAGAGAGAGACCGGAGAGAGACCAGAGAGAGAGACCAGAGAGAGACCGGAGAGAGGCCAGAGAGAGACCGGAGAGAGACCAGAGAGAGACCGGAGAGAGAGACCAGAGAGAGACCGGAGAGAGACCGGAGAGAGAGACCAGATAGAGACCAGAGAGAGACCAGAGAGAGACCGGAGAGAGAGACCAGAGAGAGACCAGAGAGAAACAGGGGGAGAGACCATTCCGGACCGACCAATGTCTCAT